GTGGCCCTGGTGCCTGGCATATGGATGGCTGACCACAAGTCTTGAGTTACTGAGGCATGAGTCAAGAGGCTCACTGCCGGCCCAAGGTCTCGCTTTGCTCTTGTCATCTGTCACAGTGGCCTCTGAGTGGTCTGCTCCAGGAGGGATGCCTTTGACAACTGGCTGTCCCCAATACAGAGGAAGCAGTAGAGAGAGCTGCTCTTGGCTCTGCACTGCCATTTTCTCGACCTTGGACAAGTCCCCTAAGCCCTCTGAGCCCCGGTCTCCTCATCTATAAATAATGGGACTAATAACCCCATCCCGAGTACCACACCACGAGGATCAAACTCAAGGAGACCCGTCCACAGGCACGACACCTGGTGTCCAGCAGGGCTTCCATAAATGTCCCCTCAGTCAGCAGGCAGTAGACTCTGCATACCAGGTGCCAGCTTCTGCTCTCTACTGCAGGTGACCCTAGCACCAAGAAAGAGCCTGGGGGTTCTAAGTGTGCCCCCAGCCCCTCCTCTCCTCTCAACCTGGATGCTCTGGACATTTGTGAGCCTGTTCCATTTGGTGGCTGGATGGACAGAGCTTTGTCTGCCTTAATTTGTGTGAGCTTCAGGGCTCTGAAGGGAATGACTACATTTTCCCCTCCTGGCTAGGTTGGTAGAGCTGGTTAAGACAGACAGATATGGGGCCAGCAGGTGGCATAGCAGTTAAGGAGCTGCGCTCCCACATGGCCAGCTGCAGTTTGAGTCCCAGACCTGGCAACTTGAAAGTCATGCTGGGCACACATGTGTGCATGCCCACTCCCCTGGGAGTGATTTCTCACTTTCCCTCTCTCTGTCTCTCTCTGGTGAATGTCCAATGGCAAAAATCTATTTGAAAAAAAAAAAGTGGTTGTCTTTGGAGAGGGAATGGGAGACAGGGAGGTAAATTGACATAAGACTTGATTTTCTTTACGCAGGTACTTTGTTTTTCTTTTTAAGGCTGTATATGTATTACTTTTTCCTCATTTTTTTATTAAAAAAATTTAGAGGTTTTGGCCTTAGGGCATGTGTGTTTATTGGGGAGGGAGAGAGAGAGAGAAAGACAGTGAGAGGGAAAGTGAGAAATCACCACCCAGGGGGATGGCCACACTGCAATCCCTTCATCTCCATTCTCCTCCTGTGACCTTGGGCATGCATGTACACAAGACTGGCATGAGTTTCAAGCCATGGGGTCTGGGACTCGAACTGCTTTTGGCCATCTAGGAGTCCAGCGATGTAACTGCTATGCCTTTTTTTTTTTTTTTTTTTAAAGTTTTTCATAGGGTGTGTGTGCTGCAGAGAGACAGAGACAGAGAGAGGAAAAGTGAGAACTCACCCTCTGGGGGACTGGCCATATTGTAATCCTTTGTTCTCCAATATCCTCTCAGGACTTTGGGCATACACACACTCATGCACATGACATGAATTTTCAAGCCACAGGGTCTGAGACTCGATCCACCGTCAGTCATGTGGGAGTCCAGTGCCTTAACCACCACACCAAATGCTGGCCCCACCCTTTTCCTCTTTTTAAAGAGGAACCTACTGAGTAATGGTGAGGAGAAAGAGAGGCAGGAGATTCCTGGGGAAATCTGCTAGACCTCCTGAGCACTGGGTGTCCCCAGGAACTGCACAATCTCTCCACTGGATCTGACAAGGTGACAACAGTCAGAAATGTCACCTCTGCTGTGACTTCATCCGTCATCGCTGGAGGCCTGGTCCTGTCTTGGCTGTCATACTGCCTGTGCCCGGCAGGGGGAAGCACAGACCCACCAAAGCTTGGTCCCCAACTTAACCACCAAGCCTCCCTTCTAGGATTTCCTCCTCTGTGGAAAGATACTTCCTGCCAAGCCCATCAAATTTATTAGGTAATTGATTACAGTTCACGGTTTCTTCTTTCTTTTTTATTTTATTTTTTTTAGTTTTCCACAGGGCATGTGTGCTCGCCAGAAAGACTAAGAGCTGGAGAAGAGAGTCAGAGAGAGAAGTCACACCCCAGAGAAGAGAAAAGATAGCCATGCCGTAATCCATTCTCCTTTCAGGATTTTGGGCTCACACACACACACACACACACACACACACACACACACATGCCTGGTGTGATTTTCAAGTTGCTGGGTCTGGGATTCAAACTTTGCAATCGGCCATGTGGGATCCAGCACTTTAACCTCCGTGTCACCTGCTGGCTCTACTTTTCTGTAACTCTCAGTTCTGGTCAGCACGAGAGATATCAAGTCGGCCTGCCGGAATGATAATTTTCTGCCCCAGAGGGCCTGCTTAGCCTAGCCTTATTTCCACCAGGACTTGGGTGGAGAGTAACAGGCAATGGCTTGAGGGCCCCAGAAATTGAGAACACAGATTGCCCACTCCTGCATTAGAGGCTCCCCTCCTGGCTTGCATTTCAGCTGCAGGGCACACTCCTGCCCTCCTCATCCCCCTCAAAGAAGTAGCCGGGGGCAAGAGGAAGCTGAACACCTGGTCCCAAAGCTGACTGGAAGCAGCCACTCTCCTGGGTGTTTAGAGTCTGTCCCTTGCCAGGCTGTGAACGGCTCAAGGACAGGGACTCTTCTCATCTGCCCAGAATCCCCAGGATTGAGCACAGTGCTGGGCACACAGCTGGTATTAAGTAAAGGTTTGTTGTTGACCTGAAAGAGTCAGACATGGAGGGGTAAGGAACTAAATTAAAAAAAAAAAAAAAAAAAAAAAAAAAAGAGATCAGTTAATTTCAAGGGCAAGGACACAAGGGCAAGACTCTAGTATACTCCAGGCCGAGGACACCGATGAGCAAGGAAGGGCTCCCTTTCCCTGTGTGCCCAAGGAGAACCCTGCTTTGACTCACTGTGGAGGTCCCTGGCCAGGGCATGAAACTCCCAGTGACCTGGTGACCTTGGTCAAAGAAAGGCTTAAATCAGATCATCCTGCAGGGGAAAGACCCACTCATCCTAGTGTCTTCCTTAAGATCAGATAGTTAACTTCCCAGTCTTGCTTAAACTCTTGGCAGTGGTTCTGAATCTGAGGGCAGAAGGAGGAGGAAGCTCTGTAAGGAGGGGACACTTGGGGCTCCTGGCCTGGCCTAGAGAAAACCCAGACCTCATTCAGTGGCCCTCCTCCTCCATGCTCTGGTCCTGTAGGGAGGAGCCAATTGGGGATCCCTGGAAATTAAACAGGGATGAGAGGAGTTTCAAATTCAGGCTGGAGGTTGTGCCCCCAGCCCTGAGGGTCGAAGCCCTCCCATACTTCCCCACTTGGGAGGACAGGACAATGGGGGACCAAGACAGCAACTCCATGGCAGTGTAGGTTTTGGAAATGAACAGAGACAAGCGCTGTTTCTGTCCTTTATTAGCTGTGCCTTTGGACAAGTCACTTACAATCACACTGAGCCTCAATCTCCCCAGCTCTGAAATGAGGTTATCAATTCCTACCTTCTCTGGTCACTGTCAGGATGAATGAAAGAAGAGCTGGCAGGATTCCTGTAATTAGCAGACACCAGATACTGCTATTCTCCAAGGCAGGCGGTCACCCGGGTTCTGGTGCGGATAGCATCAAGGAGATTTTCCCTCTCTGAGGTGCCGGCTTCTTTCCCAGCCTTGCCGCTGGTTTCCATCCTGAGCTCCTCACCCCATGCTTCTCTTTGGGACCCACCTGGTGGTCTCCAGCCTGCCCTTTTCCATAGGCGCCCCCATTCTAAAACCACTGGGGATGCTGGCACAGACACGCAAGTGGTCAAGACAAGGGAGGTGCAGGGGGGGACTCCCCTGGCCTGGGTCCACGCCCCCCCCGCCCTATTTTGGGGTTATTGTTCGCAGATGGTTCCCTCTGGTCCTCAGCTCATCTCTGCTAAACAGAGGAGGAGAGAAACAAGAGGTAGGGGCCCTGGAAGGGGGTTCCCACCTTCTCAATTGGGGACCCGAGAGGGGGACGCAGCAGTTGCCTCCTCAACGCCGCGTCAATATGAGTCTCCAAGCGGTGCTCGCAGTGGCTATCAATCTTCCACTCTCGGGTTTGCCCCCTCTGCGATCCTGGTCATGACACCCTTCACCCAGACCCTGCAATCTCCGGCTCCGGCTCCGGAGAAGCGCGACGGTACGGTTCTAGGACCCGGAGGCGCCGAGCGCACTGCTGCCTCGGCCTCGCC